AACGATTTATTCCTCTTCCCCCTCTATCCACCAGCCATTCTAGTTTAACTGCGCTTTGCTTTCCCAAGAGTTTGGGTTGGCCCAAGTCTGTGGCGAGGCAAGACATGCGTGACAGAGGCGACATGAAGCTCGTGAGATAGGGGTGATGCTCAAGTTGAACTCGCGCGGCCAATTCGCGCGTTTGCCCCGTCCGCTCCCGAAAATCCAAAAAAAATCTGCGATGGTTTGAAGCCATTGTGGGAAAGCTGTTGATTTTTTTTGGATTCGGAGGTGCTCCTCATAAGAGATGCAGAGGTTCATAGTCACCTCCTCACATGCCTCATCTTGGAAAGCCGGGTAGGCTTAGCTGTTGACGATCACCAGAAGAATCCATCCAGGAGCATTGAGGAAAACTGAGTTTATGTTATGTTTGGGATCACCGTTTTGGGCGCTTATTTGTAAAAGGAAGTCTCTTTTTTAGGACCAACCCCAGCCTTTCGACCTCCAAGAGGAGGCAGCTGTAAAGGCTATGGGTGGAGGTGGGGTTGATGGCCGCGCAAGTGTTTAAATTCAAAACATCAATGACTGGTGCCTGGGTGTTCGCCCGGAGGGCTTCCCGCAAGTCGGGAACCTCTACCGGCTGCGCCTTTTCCATCGCGCAGCCGCCCTCCATCGCCTGCGAGCTAGTGATCCCCACCATGACATTTCAATCTGACAAGTTTCCTGGCATGTGTTGAAGCATTATGTCGACATTCTTTCGGCATATGTTCTGATATTCTTTCATCTGGCATTATTTCCGGCACGGCATATGTTCTGACATTCTTTCAGGCGCATCTTCTGACATTCTCTCTGGCACATCTTCTGACATATCTTCTGACATTCTTTTTGGCATGCTTTCTGGCATCCATTCTGACATTCATTCTGGCATTCATTCTGGCATTCTTTCTGGCATTGTTTGGCATATCTTCTGACATTCTTTCTGGCATATCTTGTGACACTTTTCTGACATTCTATCTGGCATATCTTCTGACATTCCTTCTGGCGTTCTATCTCGTATATCTTCTGCCTCGCGGTTGAGGTCCGTTAGCCGAAATCAGGAACAGCAAGACGCAAAAAGTCAGAGTGTTTTCCACTGCTCGGATCATATTTTTGACAGACACAATATATACGAGGAAGGTACAACTGCTATATTTTGACGATAGCGGGATGTATCTGGAACGGCCCGGAACGGCAGGCGGCGCAACTGCCATCCTATGAAGTACTTGGCAGTGGCGAGCCGCCAATCAGCGATGATGACATTGTGCCACTGGGCGCTTTCCAGTTCCAGCTGCTGCGCATCTCCTTGTTCGAGCAGAACGCCGAATTTTGCCCCTACCTCAGCAGGCCAGCGCAACGCATTGGCCACCATGCACGGAATGGAGCGTAGAGCATCAGAGTCTTGCAAATGGGACACAGTGTCACGATCAAGTTTGAGTGAGTACATCTAGATCTTTTTTCTTTAATTTGTGGTTTATTGTTATTATGTGTTTTCTTTTTTTCGTGGCCCTGGTGTTAGATCAGTACGAATTCATGAACCTTGGCTTGAAAACGTCTTCGCCACTGGTCCAGTTTCAAAAACATGTACGAAGATTGGCAAGAACTTTCAAGAATTCTCTTTAATCGTACATTGACGCAGAAGCAGAATAAACTATATGGTTTATTCATGCATATTTTGTGTTTCATTGAAACAAGTTTTTTCTTTGTGATGGTGCTGGTGTGTTCACCCCTTTGTCTTATTGATTGTGTTTGTTCTTGCTTGTTGTGAGTCTGGGCGATTCGGCAACACAAGAAACAATTTACGTTGATATGGTAGAGGGATTTTGCAAAAAAAAACAACACAACATTGGAAAACAGGAAAGCAAAAGTAACACACAACAGGCAGCAGACGTGATTTAACAAATGTGTTTCAATGTGTTAAAGAACTGCTTCTTCAACACCACAATTGTTCAAAGTAAAAACATATAGCACCAATGATTACAACTGTCAAACTCATTGAACACATGCATTTCCTTTACTTGGTTTCACCCCCATGTAAAGTCTTCACTAACAACAACAGCATCAACAACAACATGCATTCTCTTTCAACAGCCGCCAGATGAGCGATGAACCCACAAGAAGGTGATTAAACAACACACTTATATATATACACACACTGTGTATTTCAATAGTTTCTGAATTACTACGAATAACCCATGTCAGCCCTCGCCCCACTGGCCCCAAGTGGGTCCACCATGAATTTTGAACCCAACCCTTTAAATGCAAGAGGAGTGTTTTCCAGATCCCTTTCGAGGAACTGGCTTCCATGGGCAGGGTGATGATTTGGGTCATGAAATCGGCCATGGAAGGTCATCAGGCATCGGAAGACGGGTTCAACGAACCATGCCCCAAAAGAGAAAGAGAGACAGAGAGAGAGAGAAAAAGAGGGAAAAAAAACAAAAACACACTGAAATTTGATTGGATTCTGCTTGGCAAACAATTTTTTGATTTGTTTGCCCGCATGCAAGCCTTCCAGGAAACCAGAAGCATCAAAAAGTATCAGAGGTGAAGAGACGTGATCGGGAGTTGCTTAGGCCAATGTTTTGATTGAACCATTTTGCCATTGGTCAGGGGCCTCACCTTGGGTTTTGGACTTGAAAATGGATGAACCACCGAGGAAAGCACCCTGCAGCTGTGTCACCGGTCAGCCCATTGCATTCCGTGGAGGGCCGGGCCTATGGGAAGACCAGTGGCTTTGCACCTTGATGCTCAGCTGCACTCCAGCTGCCTGCGCACATCCGATTGAGTGGACATGAGGGGGGGGCCCCCAGAGTGAACAGCGAGTAGATATCACACACCCCACAAGGGTGGTTTATGTAGACCCCGGGCATTGAAAGGTTTGTGTAGAATGGGGGGGTGCACAGTGCACAGACATGTGCCTTTTGCCTCGCATGAGGATGCCCCCGTCCTATAGTGGCCACTAGAATCCAGATACGTGGGTTGGAGGGAGAGTGGATCAAACTGCATATCGACTGCGAAAATTGACACTCCCTGCAATCATCATCAGAACTACCTGCAGTATTCAGAACCATCCGAAATCGGTGCCATGCCATCCAACGTTCATGATTCTTTCAGGGAATGTACTCTCTAGGGTTCCAACATGTTCCAACCACATCCTCAGGTTCCAACCATATCCTCAGGTTCCAACCATATCCTGATTCTTTCATGATTCTCTAGGGTTCCAACCATATCCTCAGGTTCGGTGGTATTCGAACCCCCCCCCCCCCCCCCCCGTCTCAGGATCCCCCCGTGGGTCGTGCCTGGAGAGTGCTTCCCTGTTCGGCTGCCACCCGGCCCGCTGAATGAGAAATGCATTCGCATTTAGTGAAAGGAGGACATCGATGGCACCAGTGGAGAATGAACCAGAAACTCCACCTGTTGATTGGAATTTGTAGCCTGATTCAACCAGGTGGGGCAACAAGGTGCAATTGATGTCAGAGCAGTTCAGTTGGCTCTCCAAATTTGCCCAAACAGATGGGACAAATCCCTCGCCCTGCAGGTCAAGACTGAAATGGATTCCAATTTGTTGACCTGAATTGGTGGTAGAGAGCTCGCTCAAGTCGTGGAACTGCATCTCAGCAAGGTTGGCCAAATCAGGCTGACTTGACCTGGAGGGGGTGGCTGTACATTACATCAGACACTGGCGCCATGTTTACCATGTGCACCCGACAGGTCGGGGCATGGCCTGGGACGTACTGGGACTGGCCCAAATCACGCCGCGCGCGCCTGGCGCGCCAATCAAAAGCCCCTCAACCCTCCAAAACAAGCTCTTATAAAGGACATTACACATGTTCAAGGCTACCAACTGAGAGTCCATGTGCAAAAAAGATGTCTAAAAGACCAGATCAGAGGCCTTTCTCAGCGCCCAGCTGTCCGACCTGCGCGTACCATACCCGGCTGTCGTTTCTGGCCGCTTTCTTGACGAGCCGACCGGCACTCGAGCGGCCCCAAAACGAGGTCTTGGATGAAGCCAAGCATGCGCAACACCCAAAGACGTCGGGATCTGGACAGAGCTATATACCTTTGGGTCTATCCGAACCTACCTGTAACCGTCAGGATGCACTTATTACCTATTTTTGAACCAGGCCTGCAACTGAACCATCATCATCCACTGGGCCCAGGTAGATAGACCCAAGTTGTACGCTGAAGACAGTCCCACTAGAGAGAAAGGCAGTCCCATGAGGTGTGTGTTTGGGGAAGTGGCGTATGGTGGTTGAGAGATGGTCACAGTGATACACTTTGTCTCACCGGGCGGGCGGAGGGGGAACTTCCGAACTTGAGCCGCCGGTTTCGCCCGACCAGGCACGAAGATGCTAGCTTCTATGGGCATAAGATGTTTTGTAAACCTCTTCCTTTGCCCAGCGCGTCTCATTTGGGAAATGCACATCATTACTGCTATGTTGGGGGTGCTTGCGGAGACGTCTCTTCCACCTCGCCGTGCGCACGCAGCGATGGCCGAGTCCACGTTTTTCAGGTTTCCACGTCATGTCTTGTGGAGTTAATCATGCTCCCAGGATGGTTTGGTCTTGGACTGAACAATGCATCAGTCCAATTCTTGCACGAAGTGCACCCGAATGTCGTGATACACCTTAAGCAAAGGCGTGTCGTAGCCGGAAGAAACCACCGACTGCACTGAGGCAGTTTCGGCTGGGGAGGAAGCGCAGTGAAAAGACCCTTAAGGTAATGCGCGTTCCCAGCTTGTGCGGAGCTGTCACCAGGTGACAGCGCTCCGCTGTCGAATTGGTTCCTGACCACCCATCCGATTCGGCATCCCACGCATCACCCCAAGAAGATCCCTTAAAAACAGGACGACCCACGCGTCACGCATGCCTGGTAAGGAACGGTGTTTCAGCAGTTTGCCAGAAGATGAAACAAACAAACACCTCGTAACACTATAAGGAGCTTTATTCACGTTTTTGACGACTCGTGGCGTCCTGACCTGACAGGTTTATCCGACACTTGGAAGGGATGCTGGAAACTGCTGAAGCGCAGTGCCCCAAGGAGGCGCGGAACGCGAGGAAGGCGGCAAATCAGAGGTGAAAGAGGTGGTGACCGAGTCCCAATGTGTGTGTTTGTATGTGTCCCTATGGATCCACATGATCCACTGCCACCTTCTCAGAAGATAATTGGACCCGACTGGCTGGCGCCTACATAAACAGTCTCCCTGCTCACCGTACCTCAGGTTCGGTATGTGGATGCATAGGGGTTGAATGTTGAAGACTCCAAGAGATGGCTTGGAGTTCATGGACCTGGAATTCATGTCGCGAAAAGACATGATGTGATAGTGATCTTCAGGATAGATAGATGCGTGCCGGAGTTCGTTGCGCCAAAAGACCCCGTAAATCAGGCTTCCAAAATGACAGTACAGATTAATTTTCTATGTTTGAATACAATATCACTGGCCAACCTATATATGGAAGCCAGTGCCATTTGCCATCCCTGAAGTCGAGTGCTCGCACCAGTTGACTAGCACCTGCACAAAACATGTGCACCTTTTTTGAGACGGATCCCATCTCCAGCTCGCATACCCTCCGACTCACGAAGTGGAAAACGGCCTGCGGGACGACCGTGTTCCTCCTACACCCACACGGCTCGATCCTGAGGACTCCTTGTTGGGTAGGGCACGGGAGATGGCATATGAAACGCATGAGGAATGGCATGAGACAGCTAAGCTAAACAACCGGCCGGTTTCCATCCTGGTGAGGCCTTGCGCTTGGCGGGTGCAGATGCCTTATGGGCCGAGCTCTTACAGCTGCGGCAAAGCTGCCAGGCACCGGATGAAGAAGTGACTTGAGAAGTCTCCAAATCTCGGGTATGTGATGTGGACTCTTGAAATCTCTTGACGACCCAAGGGCTGTTTGGAACGTTAGGGTAATAGATAGATAGATAGATAGATGGATAGATAGTTAGATAGATAGATAGATAGAGAGATAGAGAGATAGAGAGATAGAGAGATAGATAGATAGAGAGATAGATAGATAGATAGATAGAGAGATAGATAGAGATATAGATATAGATATAGACGATATAGAGATAGATAGATACTTAGATAGTTAGATAGATAGAGAGATAGAGGGAGCTTTTGTTTGTTTGTTTTGGTGGATTTGGATGGTCAAAAACTCTTCAGGTGGGGGTTGAAGTATCAACAGTCCAGTCTATCAAGTACCTACAGGATTTGATAATGTGAATGGCGCCAGGGTTTTGGACACTGCCTTGAAAGAAACAACATTAAGGGAAACATCATCAAAGGGGGCATCAAGTGTATCGTATCGTGACTAAACTCCCTGGTGAGACCAGTGAGGATTGCAGGACAGCAAGGTCATGCAAGGGTTCTTGACTGCAAGGGAAGGGAGATGGTCTTGTTGCCGTTCCGTTTCTTTGCTTAACAACCATCCGTGTTTCTATGGTTGGATGCACCTTGATGCACAAGGATTGGAACCCTTTGCCCGAGAAACGACGCAGAGGCACCGCGTGCGCAGGAGGCCCTAAAGTTGCAGGTGGCACCCGGGCAAGTCCTTGAGAAAGTGCCAGCAATCCAGGAGCCGAAGAACACGCCTTTTGCGTTCGTTTTGCGCGTTGTCCGAACGCGGCGGAAGGACTCGACTGGGAAGATTTGGCAAAATTAATGAGTAAACCTTAGTCTATAGTTGTTCCATTGAAAGCTGTGTCATTTGTATTCATACATGTCCTCCTTGTCCAATACTTTGTCTTAATATTCTTGCACGTTTAGTAGCCTTAGCAGTGTTAGACCATTTGCACCATGATTCACTCCAAGTGTGGATTGGCTTTGCACCAGTGTTCCCTTCCGGGGTTCCAACAAAGCTCTTGGGTTCCTGGCGCATAGCACATATATCATCCTTGTCAGCGCTCCTGAGCATGTCACAAAATACAATGCAGGGTTGTTGATGGTAGTTGAGTTAAGTCGTATTTTCTGGTTTTAAGTCGTATCTTTTGAGCGTTTGCCTTGTGGTGGGGCGTTCTGCTTTTGACTTGACTCCGCCTTGTACCATGATTGTGCAATATTGTGATTGCGTATTGTATATATATATATATGGGCTCGTGACGATTTGGGGGCCCCCTGTGAGATAAGATAATCATTATTTCCAAGTATGGTTTATAAACGAGCCTTATAGTTTATACACCATATCTTCGCATACTTAGATAAGTCCGAGCCCATATATATAATATATATATATATGGATATGTTTGTCATGCCACACGTATTTGTCATGCAATTCTGGTTTATGGATACGTTTCATTTGCTTGTAGCTCACTAACTTCAATGTCTCTAATACATGATGACCGACCTGAGTTCCATCATCTGTACCTCACTTCTCCAACACCGAGGCAGCAACATGAATTCCATTATTTGTACCACACCTTGACCGTGTGTTCCCTTCTGCCCTTCTGTCTGTCTGTTTGTCTGTGAGTGCATTACGGTATGGAAACAAACCCGTGGCCAACAACTCAACAACTCTCTCTCTCTCTCTCTCTCTCTTTCTATGGTCTTGAGGTATGTTGAGGGAGGGGGGGGGAGGGGGGGGCAGAGGACTTTTTGGATGGTCTTGAAGTATGTTGAAGGCAAGAGGGGGGGGGACAAGGACTCTTTGGAGTTGGGCTTCCTTTCCGGGTTTTGAAACAATGTCAAGACTATTTGGCGCACCCACCCCCCCCTCTCCTTGAAGAGCGGCTCTCTGTCCCCCCCCTTTACCCTTTTTGTTAATGTGTTCATGCTTTCGTGATTTCCTCGTGATCCTGATTCTTTGTTTGTTTGATGTTCACCATGAGTTTATAAACTTTGCTGCTGGTTTATAAACTGTATGTGGTCAGCGTTCTCTTAGCATTGCTGCTCAAAAAGTGTTTACTCTCTTGTGTCTGTCTCATCCTTGGGGAGCACTACGGCATGGACGTCTGCATCGAAGCCGGCAAGGACAAATATATCCATTACATGGACACCCACGAGTACATGGTCATCGACGAAGGTGCCTACACGATCTCTGCTCTCCCGCTCATCCCGGTGCCTGCCAAAGGAAAAAAGTCTTTCAAAGAATTCTTTCACATCGTTCGTGGCCTTTCTGCCGAAGATCAAGAACAAGCCCGCTCTGCAATGAACGCAACACCGCCCAACATAGCGTTGCTTCCTGTATGCCTACGTCCAAAGGATGCTTTGGGCGATAGCTGCCGCTTGCAGGTCATCCTTGATTACTCAGACCCAGCCAGTTGCTGTGCTCTGAAATTCTTTCACTCTAATGTGGACATTCCATTGGGGTTGGCCAGGACCTTTAGCGATGATAATGTCCTCGTCATCAACTACAAGCTTGCAGGCAATTCTGACAATGTCAAGAAGGGCTTCCTCGAAATGATGTCACAAATTCGAGGTGAGCAATGGCTGACGCAAAAGCTCAAGCACAAAGCAGCTGGCTCGACCAACCCAAAGGGCCAACAGTTCGTCCGATATGGATGGGGCGAGCAAAGGTTGGGAACCGTCTGAGGAAGAGCTCATCACCGGCATCCAATATGTCAATGAGCATGCCCCTTTATCAAATTCCAAGAATGAGCAGTACCTATGGGTCTGATGCTGCTGCTGATGACGAGAAGACCGGGTCTGATGAAAGTGCTGCCTCAGATTCTTCGTCCTCAAGTTCCTCCACCAAGGGCGCCAAGCGGCGGCGCTTGTTGAATATGGCCCTGACCAACCTCGAGAGCCTGCAGAGGAACCTGCAGGAGGTGCATTCTGACTGTCATGACTGCAGCCGCCTCATCATGCAGACCATCAACGCGATCAAGGAAGCCATCTGAGCATTGTTTGGCAAGAACCCTGATAAATCTGTCTTGCTGCTGCTCCTCACAAGGGGCCCCCAAAACGTCGATTATATATATATATATAGAATTGATCCTTGGACCCTCAAACCCATGGGGCCTAGTTCCTACAGTAGGCTCTATCCTGTAACAGGGGGCTCGAAATTCCGGGTTCTCTGATCGGAACATAGCAGGATCCTGCAGTGGTCCAAGTGGAGAAGGAAGTTCCTGAGGCCGATCTGGGATGGTTTCTGATCTGACGTCGTCGTTTTTCTTTTGGCGGGATCGGATGGTCGGCCCTGCTGGCGCTTTGGATGGGATTTATTTAAGAAGTTTAACTACAAAAAAGTAGCACTTAAAACTTTAAAACAGACAAAACATCTCATAAGAGGTGAGAAAGATCGAGGGCATCGTTCCTTTTTCCAGTTCTGCCGACGTTCTTCGTCGGCCCCTGGAACACCCATATATCAGACGTTCGTCTTCCTGCTTGGCACTTGGGCTGGAGGTTTGTTGCGGATTGGGGATCGGTTTGGAGGTGAAGGGTGGTCAGGGTGCCAGTGCCGTCCCTCATGACCTTCTGAGGATGTGGAACACGAGCCCTTCATTTCTGGAAATTTCAGGGAATTGGACGGATTTTCTAGAGATCCGGTGGTGAAATCGATCCAGCGACTCAAAGAAGGCATAGGCAAGTGAGGATGTTTTTTTAAAACACTGGCATGGACGTGATGGACACATCAATGCGGATCCTATGATTGAAACCCAGCGCCTCCACAGATGTGAACTTTGCTTTGGCAAAAACACGTGTTTGTTACACTTTGAAACCCAGTCCTTCACATGTTTTTGTTTCAGTTTCATCGTGCTCTATGCATCTCTATGCCATAGACCGGTGAAATTGTTGCAACATTTTCTGAAGCGATTATGGTGGACGTGGAAAGTACCCTGGGAAGATGATTCTCATCTACAAATGGGGGGGGTTGTCCGCTTCCATGTTTGTTGCAGGGAGGGTATGGGTGTGTATTATAGTACTTTAAATGGGGAGATGCTCAACCAATGGACTTTGGTCATTTTTGGTCTTTGTTCCTTCTTCCAGTGGTCTTTGCGAGGTCTTATTATGATCAACACACCCGGCATACGTTGTTTTTCCTTTCTGTTCCGGTCAAGCTTCCCCTGATTCCCCCAGCCCCATGAAGCTTCGGGTACCAGGCAGCCAGCCAAGAGCTTGCGGAGGCACTGGGTCGGCGGCCAGGACGGGCAGAGGGTGGTGTGGGTGCGAAAGTCCACGAATTCCACTGAGCTGCCTGACCCACCACGCAGACCATTTTTTTTACGAAAAAAACAACCTGGCTGGCTCTAAACTGTTATGGATGTGGTGGATGTTTTTGAACATGACCCACCCATCAGCATGATTTGGGTACACGTGAACCTAGGATTATGGTGTTTTGTTTGTGAGACTTTTTCTCCAAAGGCTTCCAACAGCGCAGTTGGTCTGCTCCAACCCTCCAATAGCTCACAGCGGTTCTAGCGACCGCGGTGCCAAGTGGCGACACAGGTTGTGATTGTCAACAACACTATATTGCTTCGAAGACCATGCTTCTTCTTGGAGGGATTTGTATATGGTTGTGTCACATGGTTTCTTTACCCATGATGTTGCTTGTTGACAGGAACTTGTTTACCCATTTTGTCCCATGATGTTTACCCAAATGTCAGGAACTGGTTGATCTCTTGAGCGACTTGACTTCAGTCGCTCAGATTGTGAGTACGCTCGAGTCTGACGTGACACATTTTTCAGATGCTGGACCGGTGCTTTCGCCAACCCAACGTTTGGCCGCTCCCTGAAACAGCTGGAAGGCTTGGAACCAAACAAACAGGTTTTTGGTCTTCAACGTCTCTCAATCAGGTTACAATTCTTATGCCATGACCTTTCTACTAATGCCAGGAAGTGAGAGAGAGAGAGACCACATTCAATTATATAGGCATACTCTCTACCTTTTTCAGTTGTGGCACCTAATAAGTGCCAAATGGTCACTGAAGGTTTTGGTGGGAGCAAGCTCCCTTCCATCAAACCATATGAAACCTTTTTTTTTAAGGGTCAGAGAGGCAGCGCATTTCGTTGTTACTCGTTGGGTGTGTCCCGGGATGCAACCGTCGATCAAAGATGATCTCGGCTGCAACCAGGCCTCCTCATCCACAACGGGTCCTGGTATGCCCTGGTAATGGATATACCCACGGTACTATCTTTGACTCGCGTCCCCGTTGGCTGAGTGACAGCTGCTGAATGAGCGCGACAGGCTCACGGCCTGGAGGAAGAGGCGAAGGTAGAGGAGTGAAGAATCGAAAGGCCACTTGGATTCAAGAAGTAGCTAGGTCTTGCCGGAACACAGACAGCTGCATGTTTGTCATGTACGTACTATGTTGAATCATTTTTTTTTGGGGGGGAACATGTTGGAACGATGAGCAACCCCGATCTGTTGGCACAAGAATCGGCAACCCAACCCCCAACCCGTTGAAAACACGAATAGGAAGGCCACTGGCTATTGTAATCATAGAGGTGTGGGTGCTGCTGTGATGATCCGCTGCCAGGTCGGCAGGTACGCACGCGAAGACTTCCCCGCGACGGCAGAGACACAGGGGGTGTAGACGTGTGGGCAGGGTGTAGACGCGGCCAGCGGCGGTGTCACATGGGAGACCTTGACCGGTCGGAACAGGGTGAACATAGAAAGTCACTGACCTTATAGGGCTCCTGGCCCATATCCTCAGGTTCGGTGGTATTCGACCCCCCTGGCACCCACCCCAGTCCCACCTTCGAAACGGAGGTGGGCCAGGAGCCCTAGGGTGAAATAGCGAAGGACCAACCAATTTAGATGTATTTAGATGTTGTGGCGCGATGAAAGCACGGAAGGCAGAGCTTGATTTGCAATGATTGTTGCGGGGCCGTCGATGGATTTCAGCAAGGCAAGTCAGACAAGGACCAGTGGGCCTCGAAAGGAAGTTCCCAAAACCAACAGCTCACGTGAAAGATCACCAGGGTCTAACATCAGTGATTCCCTCTTTCAGGGTCTTCCAGATCACACCGGCTGCACCGGGGGGTGTTTGTGACCTGACCGGCCTGAAGCGTCGGAGACGGAAAACGCACGAAAACGCCGCGCACGCAGTGGAGAGGTGGGTGCGAGTCTGCAGGGAGAGGTGTTGAAGGTATAGGGTGTGAGTGAAGGGAAGGGAGTAACACATCCGATCACGGTGGCATTTTCGATCTGGGAGGTGTCCCCTTTTTTTTTGCACACCCATACCATGTGACCTGCCATCCCGCAATCATAGGACGCAGCAGCTGAGTAGACACCCATGGATTGAGGAATGGCTGGTCGGGGCCGAAGGGAACTCCAGCTTCCGTTTCAGTAAGTGTACACATCTTGAGATGTCCCAAGGGCGGCCTTACAGAGACAGCCTCTCTATAGGATTTAGGGTTTAGGGCGAAGGCCTAAACGTTGCACTTGAAGCACGAAACGTTGCACCGGCTGAGTTGCACAAGTGAATAGCCATGCCAGTCCTTATGGGATTATTGTCCTTCAGTTTCCTTGTTCGCCGGGACTCGCGACTCAAGCTGTGAACGAAGACAGTAGTGGTTGGTGATTCACCACTTCCGATTCGTTTTATTCCAACAACTTCTGATGTGGTGTTCCAACATCGTCTAACGTACTTCATTGTCTCAGCCACTCCCTTTCACGAACTTCACCTCTTTCACTTGACTTGCCACTTCACTGTGCCATATTGTCCTGCTTTCACCATCGCGAGGGGCACCTTTTCACGAAAGCTAGCATCAGCTAGCTGGAGTTATCCTTGCTTTCGTCATCTACCCTCGGCCTCAAGTTTACTATCGAAGTCTCTACCGAGCATCCGTCCGACCCTGCCTTCCGTCTGGACCGAGCATCGCCGGCATGGAAGGCGGAAGCGCCCACGCAGGTACCTTCCTCAAGTCGGCGGCGCGCGTTGGCTCCGTCTCAAGCGGGAAGCGAAGGAAAAAAGGAACGCCGCGGGCTGCAGGAATCCAGAGGTGTTGGTTTGGGGGTCGCTTGGAAAGTGGATGAAAGATGCGAAGAGGAATCTAGGGGTGTCAAACAGCAGGGACCCGAGAAAAAGTATGGGTGAGGTGACGCCCTGGTAGCATTTGGTAGCCCAAGCTTGGTAGTATTTGGTAGTCTGCGTTTGATTTCGCACAAATTCTTTTGACAACTGTTCCAACAAAAATTTAACATTATTGGAATTCTCAGGAATTCTCGAAAAAAAAAAAACTATCCAGAAGACATGAGATGAGCCAAACTCTTTTTAGATTTAAGATGATATCTTATCAGACTCAGAGAGATTTTACCAAAAGCTCAGAGCTGTTTGGTTAAACAGATCAGCTTCGACCAATTGGTTGCTTCCCCAAACCATCCTTAGGAAAGAGGAAAGAGACTGGTGCCTACTGGAAAAGGAAGCTTGTTGGACAACCTATGTGGGTTGATCCAACTATCTACATCATGTCCAGTGTCCAGTGTCAGCCCGGCCCGGTGCACTTCCGAATCGGCTTCGCATGCAGCCGCTTGCAGCTTCAGGGCAACATGAAACTTTGCCAACCGTTTCTTGGAGCAGTGTTTCCTCTACAAGTTCTAGCGTTTGTTTCAGATACCATCTACCGACAGATGAAGCCAGATGAAGCCAGATCGCACGAAAAGGAGATGCGGATGCCTGGGCATGATGAACCATGTGAAGCCTCTAGATTAACATTACTATGCAACTTGTTAAACAAAGACTTATATAACTGGTACATGCAGAGTAGGCACGGTGGCACGCTTGCGTGTCTTCTGAAAGGACCCCGCCCTGTGAAAGCAAAATGTGTCAGCAGTTCCTTGATATTTCTACAATTTTCTACATGTTTCTTGCGAAACAACATCTGGCTAGACTAGAGGGCACCCTAACCTGCAAGAAGTTTCATTTCGAAGAGACGGACGGTTGGATCCATAGACTTAGAGAGTCCGACACGACCAGGCTCTATTTACAGGCTGTCGGGCACACTGTCGGCTGTCGGTCTTTTCTTCCGTGCCGCTGGTGGATGGACTCGTCTGGCTATGGAGGAAGGACCTTGGAGGAGGCGTTGAAGGCGCGGAGCACGCCGAAATTCTTCAGACTTCAAAGGCTGTGTTCTCGGAGGGTAGGGATGTTTTTCTAGGGTATCCCAAGAAACCAGCACAACCGTCGGTCAGAAACAATATCATCATTATTCTGGGGGGGAGTGTGTTTGCAACCATCATCCATTAGGGCCCTTGGCGGTGAGGAATAGACCTAGCCGCTATTGTCCATGATCTCTTCTGGATCCAATCGAAGAACCCAAATTGAATTAGGATGGAACTGCTGGTGCTTTTTCAGCGCACGTCAAGCTTGGTCAGACCAGCGGCCACTGTCACAGTCGCGGCCTTCGGCAGCGAAGAGACCCTCCAAGAGTGCCGCAGCAAACAGCTTTAGGGGAGACGCAAGTGTTTGACAACACTGCTCAAGATGGTGGTTCGGGCGTGTTTTTTTTAAAGACATGTTTACGAGGTGGAAGTGGAAGCCCCACGAAATTGTGGGCCCAGGACAGAACTGTCCTTTTTTGTTCTTGCTTTGGATACGGCAGAATATGCGCAGAAATCCAGCATCTAACGCATCTAACGCCCACATGTTCTCCGGACCATTCCTCCACGGTCGCAGACATGTTTTCGAACAACCGCTCTGGGTCGTCTGAAGTGAACGACCGGTTTGATGGGACCGGGCCTGTGTCGGTCGATGGGTTTGGGACCAGGAGCTTTGCGTGCGCCGTCCGGGGCTCGGCTACCGGGCCTACCATGCACTGCGGCTCGGATGGTGCCAAGCACACGTGGGAACCGGAACGCTCCGTCGTCACCGGAGCAAGGGGAACCGGAGCATGCGGCGCCTTTGAGGCAACCAGGTCACTTTAAGATGGAACGTGTATACGACCTGCCATGTTTACAGATCGAAAGTGTAAGACATGATTCGACGATTTGCCTTAGGAATCCAGTCCTACCGAACCTCAGGTACGGTGATGTGTTCGACACTGTTATGTACGTGCCAGGAGTCCAGGAGGGTCCAGCCGTACCGAACCTGAGGTTCGGTACGACTGGATCCCCAGGGATGGGCTATCAGCCTTGGCCCTCCTTCCGATTTGGACCAAATCCGTCTTCACGGGTCAGCTCTTTAAGGCTGAAGGAGGAGCTGGGCAATGTGAGCCTCAAGAAGGCGAGTGTGTGAGTGTGTGTGTGTGTGTGTTGCAACGCGCGCGAGCAACAACCCATCATGATCATAGATCAACGTTGTTCCAGAGTACAACAATATTCATATGATTGTTCTAAGTCAAGTAGATGAAGACCTGTGGCAAATCGATCAGTCAGAAGCCATTCTTACAAGGTTAAGGGGCTGATAGCTACCATTGACATGAATCGTTTCAGACGACTCGGCGCCGGTTGGTCGCACAGATCGTGTCACCTCAGGTTCAAGCGGCGCTCCAGTGCTTGCGTGAAGCATCGGCGCCGAGCCTGGCATCCGCCGCAGGGCCGCCAGAAGAGAAATGGCCGCATGGTAAGGAGAGAAGGGCTTGACATGTTGTTGTTTGACATGTGCAGTTGCAGTTAAGCCGGTTGGTTTCTTAATTATTGTCAAGCTGTTTTAAGATGTTTTAAGTAGTTTGGGTATGGCCCTTTAAGTCCAATCTTTTGGGAAGTGGTTGTGCAGTTATCCCAACTGACATGAAGTGCCTTATACCGCACACCTATTATTAGGATGGATTTAACATAATCAGCATTCATCCGCCAAGTTCTCAGCAGACCACTTTGTACACCTGGAAATGGACAACAGATACGACTTGCTCTGTGGACATGTCCCACAGCATGCCCTCAAATAGCATCCAAACACAAATCCCAGACACTCCTCGAGACTGGTATAATTTGACTATAGCTTGGCAGTTTGCATTCCAGTTTCTATATCCCTAGGGATCCAAGTACCTTCTCCGAAGGTGATGTGTTCGACATTGTTATGCAATGTTATGTATATATAGGTGTCAGGAGGGTCCGGTCGTACCGAACCCGAGAAGGTACGACTGGCCTATACCGAGCATTTGACGAAGTCTATGACATATCCCAGACCATCCATGTTTGGAATATATACCTACTACATTGACCCCCCAAACCACCCCTAATGTAGGTCAATATGTCAGTCCCATGGCCCATGGATGGTCTGGGTATAACACGCCTTTTCCGTGCGATCACCCCGAGTGAGGCCCCCAGCTGAGTGCGGACTTCACTTGGTCGAGCTTCCCGGCCGTGGCAAGGGCTATTTAGCCATGCGGCGCTTTCGGCGGGGCGAGGCGCAGGACGGGGCGTGGCGTGGTTCGGATGCCATACGCAGGAAAAGTTGATAACCTTAAATTGACCTGTTTTGGGAACTGGGTTTTCCCACTAAAGAAGAACGGACAGAAGAAGGTTAACGGAGTCAGAATGGTGAGCCCAGATGAGCCCCTGGAAGACGCGGCTTTAGGCACCGGCGACGAGCTTGTCATCTTTGTAGAGCGTTGGCAGATGTTGGCAGTTCCAGGACCTCTCGCTTCTCGCTGTTCTTAGGGAAGAAAAGTCTTAATCCCTTGATCAATGGTCAGGTCTTGTTCCAAGACGTGGCGTTCTGCAGTGCGCTCGTGGGCGAGGGCGACATGGAAGAGCTGGCAACTCAATGTGAAGGGCGGCCGTTGGAAGAGGCGCCGGGGAGGAAACTGAGGCGCACGCGCAGTGAGAATCACTGAGGTCATGAGGTCTGAGGTCATGAAGAATTGGTCTTGGATGTTGTTGCCCTAGGGATCCAAGTACCTTCTCAGAAGGTGATTGGAGACTATTTATGCAGGCTTGGAGGGTCCAAGTACCTTCTGAGAAGGTATGTGGACCCTTAAGGAGAGTGGACAACATCAGCAATCAGTTCACCGTGAATGAAAAACACCAGAACATCTGGTGAAGTCGGAGGAAAGGGGCTCGGAAAACGTCCAGGGCCCTTGATCTAGCAGGCCTGGCTGCCAGGTCTTGCATGCCCCACCCCTGGAGAGTAGAGAACTCTCCTGCGAGCAGGTGATGGATTTGACGTACGGTGCCGAAACGCCCGAGCTCCATGGCATTCTGCAGAACAATGTCTTCCACTGCACTCGCGAGGCGCAGAACAAGTGGTGATTTGCGTTGTTTTCCGTATGGGGTATGGGTGAATCTCCTCGGCAGGAATAGTTTTTTGTTTTTTTTTATACTTTTTTCCCGGCAAATCCAAGGGTCGGTGTCCAAAATCGTATGTAATTATGCTTGCTCATTCCAGACTTGGTAGGTGACACCCTATGTGGTTTGGGCATCAGCGACTGCTGTGATCAGGTCGACTGCTGTGCGCTCTTCCTCCGCGTGGCTCGGCTGAACCACTGCTGTCGGCCCAATGCCTTCGTGGACTGCGCTCGCAGCAGCGCCACAGTGCGCTGCCTCACGGACATCGAGGAGGGTCCTGCAGTGAGGTGGTGGGCATACCCAGACCATCCATGGGACTGGCATATACTTATTGACCATACATGGAGGGGTGGTTTGGGGGTGTCAATGTAGGCATAGTGCCTTCAAAAGTTTGCGATGATTACGATTGCATAGGAGCGCTGCATTCATATGCAGGCATGCTCTAGACCCTGGCGAACGAAAGGGGACTCACAACATGGTTCCAAAACATTGGAAAACCACAGGGGGCTCACAAGTCTGAGGATTCAACAGCCGCACATCATAAATTTTGAGCATACCTCATTTATTCCAGTCCCATGGATGGTTTGGGATTATGTGGGGTCAGGCAGGGGTCGGAGTGGGGAGGAATTCCGGAGTCCACGGTGTCCGAATCATTCATGCAGAACATGGTGTGTCACTTAGATTTCAATCCGGATTTGTTTTTTTGGGATGCCTGTCCTCCTCGTGGAAGGAGCAGAAGCTAGAGCTAGACGGGAATGGTTCACAAGTAAAGACTTATGGGAGGCTGGCCTATTATAGGCTTCAAGAGGGACACTGAATTCTGATGATGTGCATGCGCAGAGGCCCACGAGATCCACGAGACCCAGCAGAAATTTCGAGTGTGTTGACTCTTGACCCGACAGATGGGGAGAAAGAAGCACCTGAAAACAAGACATCCAGAAATCCATCGCAGCGGTTTTTCCATCGCAGACTTGACCTCACTGCTTATTAAGAAAGATCATCCAACCAACACCTCGAGGGATGGGAGGAACATGTTACGCTGATCTTGTAGGGGAGTGGACACCTTTTGGGTGTTCCACTGGAATGGGGCCGCGACCTGTGTTTTGATGGGCTAGAGATGGCACTGAAGAAGATGTGCTGGGAATCTACCTCCCACCAATGATCTTTCGGAAAAAAACTCGTTCCTTGCAAAAAGACTTCAAGGAGCCTGCCACCTCCCTTTTCGAGTTCTTGGCAAGCGTCTTTTCCTACCACACTGTATATATCCACTTGTTGTCCAATAATTATCCATCAAACAGAAACTGCTTTACTAGACCTCGCTACTGCGTCCACCGTGTTGGAATGCTGCGTCTCGATGTGGTTTGCAACATCATGCCAGCGGCATCGACTTGACCGGCATCGCCCTCGCAAGAAGGGTGAAAAAATGGACGGACTACTGTATAACTATATATGAGTGATTGAGACTGGAGTGGATGTCTACCAGAACCGCACAGATTCATTTAAACAAAAGTAGTCTCATGACTCTTGGCTAGATGAAGGGAACACCAGGAACGACTCTTTTGTTTGTCGCTGCGGCTTCCGCGTTTTTGCAGGAGCAGCAGGAGATTTTGATCTCCTATGTCCCAGTCAGTGACCCACGGCCACTGAGATTGCAAGGAGGTGAAACATCTCGATGCACATCATCGCATCGTGGATGAACATCACTTTTCACCACCCGGATGAAAACCCCAAATCAAAAAGAGGTGCGACGGATCCAGGCTCCCCCGTAGGAAGATGTTCTGGACTTTGCTTACCTAAAGACTCATGTAGGACCAGGATGATTGTATATACCCAGGGACCCTGGCCTTTGCTAGGCTGTAGGACCAGGACTCTTCAGCTGCGGTTGATGTTTCATCAGCTGCCTTTGTCTCGGTCTTCCGAAGCTCCAGGCGTTTTGATCAACTCGTGGTTTGTTTCGTCCAGGCGCTGCTGAAGACATGTGTGGTCACAGCTTGATTGAAGTCTGTTTACGGTATGGCGAGGGCAAGCGGCTTCCAGCACGCATGGCTTTTTAGCATGTGCTGCACAGTGGGGGTAGGTGCAAATTACCACTTGCTGAAACAAGGGTGCGTGATACGCTCAAGTCCATGCAGATACCATGGACTGCAGTTGTCCTCACGACGTGTTTTCGCTTTAAATCGATCCTCTCAACATGCTGTTGGGGGTGGTGAATGGCGATTCCGCACGTGAGCGAACATGGACAAAGTGCTGTGTCCTTCCTTCTACTGTCACAAGAGCTTTTTCCGCTTGCTGGGGACAAACAGGCTCCTCACTGACCGTCACTGACCCGCTAAGCGCCCGCCCCCCCAACCAAATCAACGGAAACAAATGGTTGACCGGCAGACGGTTGGGATCCCGAAAAAGGACATGGTCCATTGTTGGTGACCGATTTGAACAAGCCAAGGCTGAAGAAGGTCGAGTCAAGGCTGAAGGGATTTGAACCTTGATCGGGTTTGGGGACAAACAGATCCAACCCAACAAGCATGGAGGCAGGATCCGCACTCATAAGATGTCAAAGCACACACAAGTTCATGCTGAGATCTCAGGCCTTTGCGGCATGAAAAGCTGGCCGGAAAGGGCTTCGTTTGTGACTGCTTGCGCTGCCAGGAGCTGGGTTCTGCTTCCATTGAAAACCGCTTCCAAACCAGATCAAATGGCAGGGTCGGGGTGATTGGCGAGGCATCCCTAGGCCAGGGTGTGTTGTGGTTACGTTTGGTGTTGTCATGATCTACATAATGCAAACATATTATATATATATATTGTCATTGAGCAGGCCAAAGCAGAGCCTTCACCAAAGAGCACGCAGATGCACCACAGTGTGAGAACAACGCCAGCAACAGTGCCTGCTTTGTGCTGACGCTGAAGGCCTAAGTATACATGTATAGTCTATAGTGCAGTAGGGTGTAGACCATTACCAGGGACAGCAGTCGGTAAAAGATTGTCACTACTTTTGAGAAAGGCCAGCCACCTGACCATCATCATCCACTGGGCCCTGGTAATGGGATATATAGTACAGTATACTTATATATATATACATTATATATATAATCCATATATCAGCAACATGTTATACATTCATGTCGTGCCTGAAGTTTGTGCGAAGCGGTGTAAGAACGTTGGTTCAGCTACCAGACACGACTTTTTGAGTCAGTTCATGTGCCCATCCACCTCCGCAAAGGAAGCAACATGTATGCACCTTATAACCACCCTTGTTGGTCCATGGGTCCATCGGATTCTTGCTTGAACCACCTCTATTTCTTGGTGCGTTGGTCCCTTTTGTGCCATCCGTACAGGAGGAGGCTGCCGAGGCACAGCACCGATCCGCCTAGTCCAAGCTTTAAGGGAACATCTACAGGGTGAACACCCATGTGTCCGGTAGATTTTCTCTGAAAACCCATCCGAGTAAAGACTGGCAGAGCAATTGGATCCTGCAAAATGGCGGATCGGGTGATTTCTCTGGTCCTGAACTGGGGGAACCCCGTTCTAATTGAACATATATAGTGGTCCCCAAATAGATAGCGGCATGGTTTTCCAATAGAATGTGTGGGTATCTACTGTTTTTATCGAATTTGGGGGTCTATCGGTCTATCATGGTCTATCTATCTGCATAATATTTCCGGTTCTTGGACAGCAAATCCAAGGAACCCCGATGATTCGCTTTTTGAGTCGGAGCTCACTACGCCAGGCCACCCTTAGTCCGTGCGCCAACACGGACTCCGCGCTGAAGGAGATCGAGGAGGCTTCACAGAGGACGAGCACATCAAATTCATCCAAAGACTGTACCTAGCGCTTCCAATGGGTGTCCAATGGTGACCTATAAGCAGTGTGGGGTCGTCCATTGGTAGCCCCTTGGAAGCAGCTGGTATCTTGGCACGTTGTGGGTGAATTTGATCCAAGACCTTTTGCTGTCATGGAACCCTCCCCACCATTCCCCACCTCTTGTTCCGGCTTCTTTTATATAAATGGATAAACCATCGCATCGTGCTTTTTGTGCAGAAATGAACACACTAAAAAACACACACTCGCAGAGCGTCCCGCTCTCTTTTCGATTGGGGGGGAGATTTTTTACATGTCTTTTGCCCCAATTCCACTTCACATCCTACACTCATCCTCCACCCATCCTCTTTCAGATCAACGACTTCATGCGGAGCCCGGCAGCCGCCCAAAGCGACACCCGGCAGCTGCTGGCGAAGCTGTGCGCCGTGGACCAACGGCGCCGTGCGGAGAACGTGGAGGGCGGCTGCGCAGTGGCCACTCGCACTGTACGAAGATCGGCGCCTCAAGAGGGGCCAAAGTGAAGAGGTGCGGGGCCAGAATTGTGATGTGTTTTCTTTCATCCTTTCTTTGGTTCAGTAAGGACATGGCATGGTTTTCAGCTTTCGTGAACGGCCCGCTGGATCGAAGGAAGGCGTGATCGGACTCGGACGTCCAAGGTGACGCTGCTGAACAACCTCTCAAACCTTCACTTCTTTTGCGCCTTGGGCACTCCAAGCTGCGACGCGGCACGTTTGGGTTGAATCAAACGCATGCCCCACGAACGTGACGTAGAAGTCGGCCGCCTTCTTGGATCTTCTCAGGTTTTGTTGGGTGGGTTTGATTCGTCTTTTCAAGGCCGCACCCGCTTTCAATCGAAAGCCTTCGCTTAGTCACACTTCTGGTGCCTCACGCCGGGTGCAGCACGTTCAGTTGGGTGCTGAGGTGCTCAAAACTTGACGGGGACGGCACGTGCGGAGGCATTGGAGGCCTTTTACGCCGCTTGGAGATGTAGTCAGCATGTTCGTAGTGTTGAGGAATTTGATGCTTCTCCCACGGCTTTTTGGATCACTGCCGGCCCAGATGAATTTAGAAGGATGATCAAGAATGTGCTTCTTCCTGCTCTGGCAAGTGTTATTCTTCCTTTAAGTGTGCACTCGAGCCCCAGCGTTGTCCTCGAAGTGGGCATGGCCTAGCAAAGGATGACCGTGAAAATCCGAACACCCAACTGGTGGTGTTCGCACTTCCCAAGACGGTCCATGATTCCAGGTGGGGGGGGAGTGTAGTTGGTCTTTGGGACTGTCCTTGGTCCCCTGCGGCCTGGGGAACTAAGAACCCAAGGACTGCAAGAAGGAGCAGATGCTTCGCTACGAGGCCCTGCATGGTGGGGCTGCGCAGCGGGACATCAGCAGCTCGCCTAGCCGTCTAGGGTGGTCTTCGGCACGGTATAGCACGGTCCCCGAAACAGGACATATGACGTAGGTGTGTTGGGAGTGTTGGCTTAGAAATAGACATGTACATAGACCAATCCCCCAAGCATTTGGTTGAACAACATTGAGCAACAACGCATCAAGCTAGGACGGGTCAGCCATGTGATCCCGTCCTCTTTTGTGCTGATCTGTGTATTGGACCAGTTCAGGACCAGGATGTTCGCAAACCGGCACAGTGGTCAAAGCCAGAGGCCTCGCGAGCTTCCCGCATTTCCCTCCTCTTGTGGTCCTTATGAGACAGAGACAGTCGGCCTGAGATCTCTTGGGATGCTTGGAGGCGTAGACCCGGAGACCAGTGCATCCGCTCCCCCTCTTCCAAAACAACAAGGTATGGGAACTCTGGGCACTTTTTGCACACATTTTTGGGGTCCAAATGTCCCGTACGTTGGAGAGCTGTAGTCACTGTAGTTGCGATGTGAGCGAAATAGGCTTATACCCAAATGTTACATGTTTTTTTGGTACTTTTTGATACTTTTTGTATCAATTGAGAGAGGTCAAGGACCCTACTGGGGTATACCTATGGGATAGTCAGAAAAGTGTCCTTCAACCTGTGTCGGAAACCAGAACCAACCCCTTTGGATGTTCTGTGGAAGTGGCGGTCAAATCTGTTTTTCTTGAACGTGAAGACATGACCAACGTTGGGCCCGGGCCGAACGCAACACCCTATAGACTACTTGACGGTGACGCGATCAACGCTGTTATAGGTGCCAGCCAGTCGGGATCCAGGCGATATCACCATCCCCGGAGCCGGGAGAGTGGTGCGAATGCGTTGGTTTCGGCTCGTTCAAGGCTACTTGTTGGCCCTTCAGCGACTTTTGTCCCTTGAGCCGGGCCCACCGCAGGAACTCAGGCCAGGAGACGCGACGGTTCCGCGACAGTTACTGTCGAACAGTTGACGCGCGCCGGTGCTTCTCTCGTGGGAGGGAACCCTGGACTGGAGAGTCCCGCAGGGGTCCTGCTGGTGTGGCTTCCAGAGTTCACCTTATCACACACCTTCCATGGGACTGGAATAGTCATTGACCCCATGAAAATGACCCTAAGTTCATGTAGGTAAAATTATGTATATATAACTCATATAGCTATTCCATAGGTGGTTTCGGAATTCTTGGAACTCGAAATGTCAAGAATCCATGCCGATGTGAAGACGGTCTCGACCATTGGCAGGGGGTGACATCGCACCCCCGAGACCCATCCACGTGTGCGGAAAGACTGACTCGCTCCACTAAGCAGGGGACCAGTATGATGTGAGAGGCGAGTAAGTATTGCTGGTAGCGCAATAGGTGACTTTTTAAGTGTATGTTTCCTAATATGGGCAAATCCAAGGGGAGAGAGTGCTGATTGATAAGCAGCTGCAGGGGCGGAAGCTTTGTCCCACAGTTCCCTTGACATCCATTGCCGCTCTAGCATATGCGTCACCCAGGCTTAGACATGATGATTGGGGTCCATATATAGGTGCCTATGTGGAATGAGTGGAATGAATGATGAGTGATACTTTGGGTTTGTCCCACTACTTGTAACAGCTAGTGAAGAATTATCATCTTCTTGAACAAAGCCTTCATTAGCCATCATCATGGGATATATAGACCCAAGATATACTGTGATGGGCTCCCGCAAAAATCCTTGGAACCTTTTTGGGCTGATTGAAGTCCTTACCATCCATCCCAACAAACCTCTAGAACAGATGCCTGCAACCACATCGACCGGGCCGTCCCGAACCCCATCCCAGTCGAGCGAAATCGGCCGAAATCGATCATGAAGAGCTTCTCCTGCGCTTTCAGCCAGGAGTGCCTGGCTTCAGCAGCTGCAGCGTGCATCGCTGCTGCAGTACGGCGAGTTGCAGCTACCCCAGCTGGGTCCAAAAAGAGAAAGACCAGACGCGCAATTTCGCGCAAAAAGCTGCCAAGACGAGCTCGAACCCTGGCGAATCGGCGGAGAACCAGTGGGAGAACCCGTACAAGCTAGCCGTTTCGTATACGGGATGGTCATCAAGCTGCACAAGCTGGGGTGAACATAATAGAAGTGTTCTACGTACGTCGGTTTGTAGTAGTCTTAGTATAGGACATCATTTGAGGTGGCTAGTGAGAGAGGGAATGACTTCAAGAACACAATAATTATGAAGGTTTTGGCTGATTCAGGTAACCCAGGAGCTGCTGGGAGTTCCTATCAAAAGCCGCTGGTTGGGACCCACCCCATTGAAAAACACCTCGGTCTCTTCAGGCCTGAAGGGGGGCTTGTTTATGAATCAACATGTCTACCAGCACCCGACTCTACAGGTCACCACCTGCTACTTTTAAGTCTGGGTAATAGACACCCCTTAAGTCAGGGGGGTCCTGGTTAGCTGCCAGAGACCCTAGGAGACCTGGGAGAGGGGCTATCAATAGACACCCCTTAAGTCAGGGATCCTGGTTGAGTCGTAGATCAGACCCTGCCAGAGCTGCACATCAGACCCTCGCGAGCTGGGAGATCAGACCTTCTCGAGACCTGTCATCCAGGAGGAAAGACCTATACAAGGAAAAGGAGAGAGGTCACCTACTAAAGGCAACCAAAAGCAACTGTTTGTTTGGGGGGAATAAGCATATTTTGGTTTCTCCACACCTAAAGGTCGCAAAACCAACAGCTGGACACTTTGGCACTTCCAGACCCGAGCTGTCGGGCGCCAGGTCCTCTTGGATGAGCCCGACATTCGCTTCTGCGTCGGGAGCCTCGTGTGTCGGGGACACCGGAAGGACGCGGGCGGAAGACCCAAAACCAGGTGGCGTGGAGTTTGGGTATGTGCGGGAGGAGTGGCGAGATTGCAACACTGACATTGTTTCTAGATTGGGGTAGCCCCCAGAATAATTTAGCAGGTTGATCTAGGCAATTACGCCATAGATGACAGTTTTTTGGATGTTGTGGGCACATTATTTTGATGCCTCCCTGAAGCCATCAATGAATCCATGACAGATAGGAACCTTCGCAGGTGTCGCATGTGCATCAACACGTTTGCATAGGCAGACTGTCGAAGGAAAATCATGTACCCATGCATCTCTCAAAGCACTACGACAAAAGGCTGCTTGCTTAGGGATGTTTTTGATTTTTGGGTACATTAATGTTTGTAGGGAGATTGGCTGCACCACAATTCCCAGTGATTTCCGCTTCCGGACCATTGACTAGTTAGTTTGGGATCCTTGCTTCTGGAGTACATGGAGATCCTGCATTTGCCCTATTCTTGAAGGATGTTGGAAGGATGTTTGCATCACCTGGATGCCCCTCTCAAAAGCAGAATTCTGCGGCTCTTTAACAATCTGATGCTTTGTTCGTATGTGTCCGCCAACTTAGTTGGTGCCCGCCTGCCTGTGTTTCTTTACGCTTCCTGAAGCAATCATGAAAAGTGGATGGCATAGGCCCCATGTCCATCAGTCCCCATTTTGTTGTCGCGGATTACCTGTCATTTACCAAACAGGTGGAGTCATCACTCCACTTCAATGTCATCACTCCACGAGGCGCTTCAAGCGCCTGGTTCGCGAACGAACCCGCCCACCGGCGCGGCGCTTGAACGACTTCCGCGTCGGCTCCGGGCGCCCGAGATTTGCTACGACGAAGAGTCCCCGGTCTTCATCGCGTGCCTTTGGGCTCGGTTGAAGGTGCGCAGCTTTGCTCTGCTCGTGCCCTTTTCGCTTCGGGAGTTTAGTTGGAGAAATGGGGGAGGACATGTGGGAGTTGATCTGGATAGAAGCCGAGTGATTCCGGGACACCACCCAACCTCCCAAGCCCCAAGATTACTGTCTCATTCTCATCGACAAAGTGGTCAAATCGATATTTCAAGAGCCCAAGCTTGACGTTTTTTCTCGATATACCACGTTGTGCGTCCTTTCCTGAGGGTTCATTTGGGCATATGGACATTTAGATACATGGCTACATGACTGAAGGATCAACGGGCGCCCCCTGGCTCAAATCTTAGGCCCTTTCCTGTTTTTTGCTGGAGATGGTTTGGAAGATGATTTTCCTTTGGGTTTGGGACTGTAGCTGTTTAGTGGCTGCCATTTACCCATGCTGCTGCCAGTGTCAGATTCCAACAAGGAGATTGGACGATAGACTAAGAACACATTCACATTCAAGAGATTCGGCATCTTGGGTGTTCCCAGCCATGAATTGATAAGCAAAAGCATATTATATGTGTCCTCCAAGGTCCAGGCTTGGTTCGAGTCAAACTGAAGGTTTCAATGATGGTCAGGGCAGGATTGTAAAACATCCTATAAGACAGTTCCTGACCTCGGGCACGAAACCCCAGCAATTGTCTGAACTCTATAGCAGCACCCTTTGACAGGTAGCCAATGGTTCGACGTGTTCGGGGCCCAACCCTCAAGGCCTGGTCCTAGGAGAGGTCACTGTTCGACCAGCTGAGTACTCTTCGACCATGACTTGGTCCAAAGACAGCGTCAAAACCCAGCTGCTACTGTTCCTTCCTGGTGCGACTCGTAGGGAATCAGGCGATTGAGCTCCCCATCGACCTTTCCGTCTTTCTCTTCCATCCTGCCAACCTTCGGACGAACACGTCGCTCCATGAACCCACGTCGTGGCGTTTCGCATCCAAACGCCTCAGGGCTTCGACATCCAAGAGGTGGAACGATCGCTGTGCCAGGCCCGAGCGGATCGCGCCGAAGACCGGTCGCGCGTCCCCGAAGAAGCACCGTAAAGCGGCCGGTGTGGGAGAGACCGGTTGAGGTTGAGAGACCAGGATTTGGACCCTGGGGATATAGGTGGTATGGGATGGGCGACAGGGCCCTAGGGCGGCTCTTGAAAAAACCCTCTCTCTGGGTTAGTAGCGGATTTGAGTGGTGCTTTTGGGTTCGCCCTCTTGATCCTTTTAGCTTCGGTCCCCGAAGACCCTCCGGTCGTTCCGGTCGTTCCTGGTGGGGCTCCGATCCGGAACCTGCATGGCATGGCGGCGACGCATGAGCTTCAGATAGCTTCAGACATGGCATGGAACCTGATGTGGGTCCCTTCCAAGCTGTATAGATGGTGGTTTGAACAACATGAAGTGCAAGATGATCAGGGTTCATTGAGTTGGTTTGGTTCCCCTTCCCTCTTATATACATCCTCCTACTTATGGGATGGTTGCCAATCTATGGTCCAAAAAAGTGGGAGAAGAAGTGCAGGGAATCTGTATAGAGTCTAGAGGACAGCCCACCTGCTGTTTTCACATGAGGGCAGGGTTCACCTCACCTCATGATGGCCAAAAATGTTTGGAAGTGGAGGGATGGTCAACAACATCCCCTTCCAAGCTCCATTGTTGTTTTGACTTCCTTCTTGTCCAACTAGATCCCAAAACACATCCTACCTAGACCTTGTGCACGCTGTGCTGTTTAGAGATCCACCGGCTGGGTCAGACCCAGCCAGACGGTGTTCTTCTCCTGACCGGCTGACCCCGCGAGCCGCAGGAACGAGGTGAATGGGACAAAGGCGGTGAGTAGGGGACCCCCAGGGCCCCCGCGATCGGTGAGTGAGTGAGGGAGAGAGATGCCAGCACACCCAGCGGCGCCGTGCCATGGGGGTGGGTTTTGGGGAGATCTTGGGTGTAGGGCGTGTCCCAGTAGATCACTATTTGCCACCTATCCATGATCGTCCACTGGTCATGGGATATATCAGAGATATCTCAGATATCCAAGATCAAAGCATTCATAAGAAGAGCAGTTCGGGGGTCAGCATGTTGTTGCGGGCTTTCGGGGGTTGAGCAAGTTGTTCATAGCTTAATCAGTGGGTCCACGGCTTGAGACAAGTGACAAGACTATCCAGTTATTATCCAACTGTTTTTTGGTTGATGCGACATATGCAAGCACCTCTGCTTCTCCTCAATAGAAGCAGCAAAACAACGGCACATTTTTGAACAAAAAGCATGCTGGAAGTCGACAGTTGGTTCGATATATTCGTTTGTGGGAGCATCTTCCACGTAGATCCAGGGTGCTTTGATTTGATTCCTTGGCGAGTCTCTTGCTTCAAATGAGGTCTTGCTTCAAGTGTCAAATCAGCTGGGGCCACAATCATACACAGCCACCTTTATTTTACCCAAGCCAAAGACAATGCCTGTGACTGTACATGCAGGACATCCAATTAAGGTTTGGGTACATACACAGCCACCAAAAAAAACACAAACTGCCAACCTCTTGTTTGAGCCCAAGTGTCGGGCATCACGCGACACGGCCACAGGGGCAGGTGGAGTCACCGGTGGCGCCGTCCCCCACTCCCTGCTGCGGTGTCCACGACGTGGCGCACTCCATAAAGCAACGAAGGCACGAACGAACGTCACTTGCCCCCCCCCATCCCGCACCCCCACATGTAAATGAACGTCAATATGTTGGTCAACAAAGGTGAACAAAGGGTAAAACATAATATAATTCAACACAAAATCATCAACTGCACGCCTCTCCGTGGGGGCCCGTATGGCCGTGCCAAAAGTCGTAAACATGTCCTCGAAGACATTTGTCCGAAACCCGATGACTCTCCGGAACACCCCGGCTTCCACCGGGAGAGCGACTTGGCACCAGTTCGTGACTCCTCTCCAGTGGGTTGGTCTTCCCTGCAGAGTTGTCACCGAACAATTCCTCACCAGAGAGTCACCTCTACTCTCAGGGAAGTACTATGACTCCTCACCAGAGAGTCGTGGCACCTATAGTACTTCCCTGCAGAAAATCACCTGGAACCCCAAACCCGCTGGTCTTCGGAACATGGTCTTCAACCACCCGGGTCTACAGGTGTTCGTCGTCCCGGCCCGGCCGTGCTCCCCCTCCAGTCGTTTCGTCTCCACCCAGGAGCCGTTTGCTCCAACAAATCACCCTGGAGGACGGCCGTCGCGAAGAGGCCCAGACCGGTGGAGGACGGTGTCGGATCCGGCCGGTGGTTGGAAGATCGTGCCAGGTAGCTATCAGGTAGCTGTTAGCTGGAAGTGCGCATGTAAATGCAGGGAATCCCCATTTTTTCGTGGATGTGTGGTCCTTCCAGGTCCCAAAATCCGTGTCCAAAGCCAGCTGGCTTGGGCGGACCTGTTCAATGCTAACCGGAGCTGTCAAAGCCTGCCAGGTCTATCACACCTTGATCCGGTGTCCACGGCCGCGGGGCCTCCCGGCGACCACGTGGCCGAAGCCTTCCGGTTTGCGCCCAGTGACTGACGTGGCAGAAGCGAATGGTTGACCTGGTTCAGATGAACTCGCCACTGACTGATGCTCCGGTGCCACAAGTGACAAGTGGGTGGATATGGAAAGACCTGATGCTCAACTTGCTTGGGCCCCATCTAGGCACACGTCCCAACCAGATTTGCCCAGAAATCCGTGCCTTTTCTTGCAGCAATCTTACCATTGCATGGTTCAGCAACCACAGGTAACCGGTGATCTTGGCCAACAAGCACCTCAGCTGCTTGTTTTTCTTTCGGCTGCGCCTGCACGAGGTATGTCACTCATCCTCCTCCGCTGTTCACAGGTCGGCTGTTCGGCTGTTCGGCTCCTGCCCAGGTTTTGGGATCGGGACGTGCTCAAGCACCAATGGAGGCGCCCCGGGGGAGCACGTGAAGGCGGAGACGTCCAGTCCCTTGCGGCCTGCAGGAGTTGTCCCTGGCACTGCATTTCATAGGGTTCCTTGTTTTCAGAGATCCTGGCGATTTGGGCTGCGAGCTTGGCACCCCAAGTGGCAGAATATGATGGGCGAGCTAACTAGATACAGGATTGTCCCGACGAAAAAGTTTGTGACAGGGGTTATGACACAGCCAAAGGCAAAAAACCTCCCATAGACTCGCGAGGACACCAGGGCTGCTGGGAATCGTGTGTAATCGATCCGCAATCCGCTTTGGGTAAGCCGGCCTCAGCGGCAGAACTGCAGGAGGAAGCTTTGGGTGAAGTAAAGCTGTGTATTCATTTCACAAAGCTTAAACAGTGGGTAATGCAGTGGGCATTCCCACCATCAGTGGGTTATACAGTATACAGTTATAGTTTATAATCCACTGATTCCCAGCAAGGAGGAGGACTATTTTAAGGCTTGAGTGACTACATGTGTTGGGCCAACTTTGTGCTTGCTCGGTACTGATGCTCAGCTTGGTTTGAAGCCATACTGGAGTGGCTCGTCTGGAGGGACTCCCCTGTGTAAAGTGGAAAGTGATGTTCTCCATGCATCTCAGTCCCAGCGTTGCCCTCCACCCATCCCTCTGATGGAGATCCCATCAACTAGAGACAGAGGGCAGGGTCAGACAGAATACCCCTGGCATGGATGGTCTTGATATGTCTTGATGTAGTTCCCTCCTGTTTATTCACGCTTGGGATTGTTCAGCCAAACGCTGGTGTTCTTTGTGCGCTGTTTTAGCCTCCGCTCGCCTCGCCTCGCCTCGGGAGGCTTCCTTTGGATTGTCAACATGGCCAAGGTGCGGCCTGGTTTGGCGAGTATTTGTGTATTTGGGAGGAGAAGGGCCTTGTGTTTCAGCGCTTGGGCTTCCAAGCTACCAGGTGGTTAGCAGGTTCCTAGGGAAACTGCGGGAGGCAGCGTTTGACTCGACAAGGTTTCCACAATACAAGGGTGTGCATCAGTTCACTTTGCTAGGATGATCTAGGATGTGTTTTGTTCATCGCCTTGTGGCTTTTACCCCTCTTGGACCTTTGCCAACTACGAGTCAAACCTTTGTGAACCACAAGGACCTTGACTTAAGTTTAGCAATGCAGTAGACCGTTTGGAGTGGGTCTCTCAGGCAGAAAATCTAGCACACTTTATGCAGTCTGACCACTGCAGTGTCTGTTTGGAGCCGGTCACATGGAACCAAATAGTGAGTGGACTTGACATCACCCCATCACAAGTGCAGCGCGCTTTACCTTGCTTGGAATCATAGCAGCATGTCGATGTGCATCACAAGAGTTGGCGAACCAGGGCGTCCAAACTGGAGCTGGTTCTAGGATGTTTTACAATCCTGCCCTGACCATCATTGAAACCTTCAGTTTGACTCGAACCAAACCTGGACCTTGGAGGACTCTTATAATATGCGTTTGCTTATCAATTCATGGCCGGGAACACCCAAGAAGCCGAATCTCTTGAATGTGAATGTGTTCTTAGTCGATCGTCCAACTCTAAGATTCCCGGCATTGCAGTTCCTCCCTCGCATCCTGGCGAGAATCCCGGAGCAACCCATCACTTTGTTGCTACAGAGAGACCGAGAAGCATGCAAACTGTGTGCCTGCCTGAGACCGCGTGCCTTCGAAGGATTTCCGGGTTAATCCGTGTGTCAATCCATTAGACTCTGCGTGAGGAGTCCTCTGAACTTCCGTAGATTCAACAGCGTCTTAAAAAGTCACAAAAAACAAAGGCTGACCGAAGCACAGGTTGTGCCATTTTCCCTGCTCCCTTCGTTGGTCTCGCCCCAGGTTATGCCTTGGTCTCCCGGTCACTGGAGGCCACAAGCGCGCAGAGAGGGAGATCAGAAAAGGGGGTGAAGCAAAAGACTGCTATGGATCTGGTGATGTCAAGGGACATTTGTTCTTAGAAGGGCGGGTGGCAGGGCTGATGGACCTATAAAATTATCCAATTCTTCATACATATATATATATAGAGAGAGTTTTAGAGCAGATATGGAGAAGTTTGCTTGCAGGAGCTGCAAAATTCGAGCCACATATTTAGATTGTTGGAAAGGATGCTCCCAATTTTGTTATCCGCGTGCAGTACGTTGAAATTAGTACTGTATATATGGATCTCGTCGCAGTATGCATTCTTTTCTTTCTCCAAGACGCTCAACTAAAGCCAGCTGCCAAACCGCTTGTGGAAAGCCTACCATCGAGTTCACTTGAACTCTATTTCAAGATACTTTAAAGTGATATGCGTAGGGAAGCGCAACTCTGGTGACCAGTGTGGGTTCCCCAGACGTGTCCGGCCTTTACTGACCGTGTGGACGGTGGTGCAGGATGAGCAGCTGCAGCCGGACTCTGAAAGGGTGAGAGCCTTTGTGCATAAGGCAGCAAGGAGGGATCGGAGCGAGGCTCCCCGCCACGGCTGCCAGGGGTAGATCTGTGACGTTTCAAGGGGGGCAATTTTTTGGGCAACTGAACCTGAGTGGCTTCTATGTTGGACCACAAACCACTCCAACAAATCATGTATCATTACGTGTTTTCCATTGCGTATTGTCACCTCAACCCTCCTAATTACCAGATCTGCAAGACTGAACGTAGTGTTGTTTGATGCTGTTTCTGACGTATATACAGGCTTGCTCGTTTCATAGGCATTGTTTGAGTTTGAGGCCCATGGCAGGGTCTCTCGGCTTCTGTCCTGGGCAGGTCCAGTCTGAAATCGCAAAAACTGGTCATCAGAATTTTCAGTTAGCGGGGCGTTTGTGTAGCAAGCAAGGTTCCCAAAACATGAGGGCAGAACAAATAACACCCAAATCCCCGACACTCCATGGGACTGGAACATGTTGCATCATAGTTAACAGTATACAGTATACATCAACAACCACCATTGGCGCAACGATGGCAGTTGAAGACGGATCGTGAAGGGTCATGTTAGTGAAGAACCAGGGACGCAATGCTCGGTGGAGGCCATCGCGTTCGTAGGTTGTTTGGCCATCGCAGTCCACACGTAACAAGAAGCTGCGCACGTAACAAAGTCCGCACATCAAGTGGCAAAATGTGTTTGCTCCATCCTCGCTCCAACTCCAACACGTGCAGCAGAATGATTTCCATTTTGGAGACCCGTCCCCGGTGGGATCTTTTGATAAATAGAAACGTACCACTCGAATCAGCTTTTACCATCCATGTCTGGTGTGTGTGTGTGTGTGATAGATCAAGATTCTCTACCAGGACCTTCCAAGGGATGTCTATTTATAGCCCCTTAGCTGTTAAGGGGTGTCCCCTTGAAGGCCCTGGTAGAGGCTTCTGATGTTCATGGACTTGTCGGCCTGCACCATCCCCGGCCGGCCCGTCACAGGCTGGTGCTCTCATCCGCCCGGCGCGCGAGGTGCCACCGCGTGCGGAGCTCCCCGAGGACGAGAGCCGCTCGGCCGGAAGACCTGCATGGCACGGTCGGTTTGTGTCCCGGTACACCTGCAGGGCCGTCAGGTTTCACCAGCCCATCACTATTGTTTAGAGATCTTTGGCCTGCAACCAGGCCCCTTCATCATCCGCTGTTGCTAGGTAATTGGATTGATACCTGAAGACCTTTCTTTCCTCAAGGCCTCGAAGGCATCTATGGGCCGCTGGTTTTTCGTTAGTAGCCATTCATGAAAAATACCTCCCACAGAATTTGCCGAGTCCTTACTTTCCGAAGATTAAATATTTATGTGTACTCGTTTGTAGCACTGAGGGCAACCCTATGCAATCCTCGTCAACCCTCTATTGTTTATCAAAGAAAAACTCGAAGCAGCGCATTTGTTCATCTCTCATGATGGAGACTGCAGTTCGACCAGCATGAAACTCAGTGGCTCGTGCCAGTGAGGTGACTCCGAACCCATCGCCAATGCCTCCATCGGCACTGAACTCACCAGTTGTCAAGCTGGCGAGTATTTTTGTCATATGAAGGTCCTTAAACTGGCGAGTACAAGAATTACGGACGTGGGCATTGCGGCATACGTGTTAACAAGGTCAAAAGCATGGGGATGCATGGGGTATTACAAAAAACAAAAACATCATTGGTGACAGCAGAACGCGTGATCAATGCATGAATGTCCGAGTTGGCTGGCATGAAGGCCAGGTAGTGGCAAAAAACAGGTCCAAGCCTTGACTGTATACAGGTCTTAAAGATCTCGGTTTTTGTTGGAGTTGGGCCATACAAAAAGCACTACTTGATGAGGTTGTCAGGACCTAGGAGACTGGACCTGGGGTGAGATGTTGGACCGCCCCTTCGGTTCGCCCTGCCGTCGATGTTCGCCGTCTGAGTCTTTGTTTCAGAGACTGCTGGTGCATGGAGTCCATTTTTAGTGGTGATCTACCAGGGCCTTCAAGGAGGGTTAATGGACACCCCTTAACAGCTAAGGGGCTACAAATAGACATCCCTTGGAGGGTCTGGTCCAAACTTCTATCTATTTGGGGGTCAAGGCCATGAAGGTACGCCATGAAGGATTGATGTACGACAGCGGTAGGAACTCACTTGCTTCATCATTTTACTAAATCTTATGCTCCAAACTCCAGCTCTTGTACTTTGGGGGTGCTCCACCCGATCCGACAAGAAGAACTCACCCTTTCTTCCAGGTTTGGACGGACACATTTCAAGATTCACCTCATGGAGGGCAGCCCTCCAACAGGTCAGTCTCCAAAAAGCCTCTGGAACAGACATGTGGGAGGTGCTGGGAATGACTTGAAGATGTTTGACTACCTAGAAGACCCGGCCAGGTAGTCAGATCGACATGGGCGGTTTGATCCCTGCGTGGGCCACCAGCTACTTGTCCTCCGTGGTCGCGGGCAAGGTAGGCCGAAACCATCATACGATCTGGGCGTTGGGATTCACGTGGTGCATCTAGTTCAAAAAAAGATCACGAAAAGGAAACAGGATGCTAGCCATATGAACAACTGCATATATGATTCACACCCAATTTCAGCACAGCAGAAGCAGTCAGAGTGTTTTGTGCTCTCCAAATTCCGTCGGATGTCGCCCCCTGCGCCGCATCGAAAGGCCTTGAGCTGGACCGAAGACTTGAGGCACGCCCGGTGGATCGATCGTGGGTGTCGGAGACGTTGGTGGAAGGTCGGGTGGTGAGTGGAATCAATGAGAATGCTGACCTCCTATTCAGGCCAAACGCGACAGACTGCGGGTTACGCGTACAGCGGCATCGAAACCGAAAGCGAAAAGAAGCGTGGCCCTAATTAGAAACACGGCTGCGTTGTAGCGAGACGCCACCGAGAGAGAGAGAGAGAGAGAGGGGGGGTCATCTCATTACTTATAGTTTTTAGATCTAACAGGCTGACAGACTAAAACAACATCAAATGACTGTAGGGCTTGGATTGGAAGTGTGGGAATGGACCTCCCTCTCCAATGAATCCAGCATCTTCAGATGCGTCCCAAACCACATGGCTTGATTCATGGAGCCAACTCATCAATCCCAAGTGGCATAGACCTGGGGGCCCGTGGACCCGACTTCTGGCAGGTGAAGAAACAAACCCATCGAACAAACCCAGCCGATTCTGTTCGGATCCAGTGCATCCGAACCGGGTCACCGGTCAGATTGGTCAGATGTCATGTCGGACGACTGCGGCCTGCCAGAGGTGGTGGGGAGAGAATTGGAAGGAGTTCAATTCTCTCCCCACTCTGCCCTGAGATAAGGGCAACAAAAACGCAGTGTGACAGTATGATCGTATGATTTGGTAGCACTTCCAAGTGGCGCCGGTGTTTGCCTCCTACAAATACTAGTACTCCTTGTTTGTTTTGGAGCTTTGAGGGTTCAGTTCGCGTCGACTTCCGGTGAGGCAGCACTGTGCAGAAAGACACCGTACCGACACTTGCAAGGAGCGGGTTATGGGTCTCAAGGAGAGTAGGGGCAACTGGGAAGAAGCTAAGTGAAGAAGCGAACCAGAAAAAGGGTCACCTCAGCTTCATTTTCCATAGAACTGAGGGGGGAAGCCTGAACTTAACCATACACTCTCATTCGCTCTTCTCACAGTGGCCTCGGATATCGCATAACGTTGCACACCACACAGCCTGAAGCTGTGACCTTGTCGCCCAAGTCACAAAAAGTGAAAACGTTTGTTAAGACTCCCAACAGAGGTTGAAGGACCTTATAGACCTATCCCAGTCTGGTACCCCAGAATGGTTCTATAAGGTTACTTCACCTCTCTTGGTCTTCCTACATGCGTTCTCGCCTGTACGCCTCTGGACTCTGGATGCCCCACCAGTTGCGCCGCCTGGGCCAAGTCGTCCGTCACCATCCCTCGCGGGCGATGGAGGAGGATGTGCCATCTCTCGCGGAGATCTCCGAATTCCTCATGCCAGGCGGTGGCGTCGCCGATGGAAGTCTGTGAGGAAAACACAGAAGGCTTGATTTTCTCTGTGGGAGCAGCCACTTCATATCCCAGGTCTAAGTAAAGACTTCTCCTTTAACTTACATCAACTTACGCACTCCCTGAAAGAATCCAATGGTTGCGTGGAAGGTATTATCTACAAATGGATGACCATGAAATCCGAAGACCCAACTGGTGTTTTTCCTTCGACACTTCCATGATTGTTTCAGGGAGTGTAGGTGTTTGGTGGACTCGGGGCAGAGTTGGAAGCGGATTGCATCGGATTGCTTTAGAGTTTAGAGCTGTGAATGTGGACTCTTGATTGATGAGCCTCCCCATTTGGATGGTAAAACCTCTTCAGATTCTACATCTGAGAGAGCATTTTCAACCCCTTATGACGAACAAGACATGATCACGTTTTAAAATGGTACAGGGAAGAACGTATCGGTAGGTAGGGGTTTTTTTAACACAACCCCATATGAACTAAGCCTGGCCCGGGTGTCCTGGTATGAACTTTCAGGGTTATCAAGTTCGACACCCCTGGTCCGGGGTGTACAGCATCTACTCCTTATTGCATCTAGTATGAACTCTTTTTATGCATCTAGTTCTCCGAAGCTCTTCAGCTGCCTCACCTGGTCTGCTGCAGGTTGGACGGATCACTGGGATGACACCGAGCTGGCCGGGGGGGGTTCGGGAAAGGGGAGGAGGGAAGGGCGGTGGCCTGGTGCTTGGCAGATCAAATGGATTTCATGTAATTTTTTCCCTATTTATTTTTGCTATCTGGTTTTCCCCTTTTGGTGAGTATTGGGCGTATTTTCCTGGGGCAAACGGGGAAATCATCCAAGGATGCCCATGGTGCCCATGGATGGATCGATTGGGTGATTGGATGTTGGGTCTATCCGACAAACCCATAGCACTGGAAGATATTGAATACCTACATGGAGTCAAAATGGGTACAGTCGTACCTGTTTTATGGGGTCATGTCCCAATTTTCTAAGCTACTTGAAGTCGGGTGCAGGATGGTCCAGGTACTGTACATGGACTGTCCAGTCACCACAAATGATTGGCAGGCTTTGTTAGGCTTTGTTCCCCGCAGGGCCAGGGGGGCGATGGCCGGCAGCGCCCCCGAAACTGGCAGCACCACCGAGAGTTTGGGGTTTACCACCTTACCGGCTGCCAGAGAGTCGAACCCCCCAGTTTTTTGCTGGAGCGACAGGGATACGGGCATGTGTTTGCGGTGTTGAAAGGGATACGAAATAGTCTTTATAGATTTAGATGTTTCTAGACCCGCCCAGCAACCAGGAGATTCCCTGACCCGGTACTTGGGTACCTGGGTAGACCGAACCCAGGAGGGTTGTTTGGGAGGTCATCCCTGATTCATGCACACCATGCGCTTCTATGTCCATGCGCTTCTATGTCCATGGTGAGTTCCAAGAAAATCACCGAAAGCAAACCTTTGCGTTTCACTCGACGGCTTGAGCCGGCGGACTGGCGGCCGTAGCAGGGAACCATCGCCTTGTTTCATCTATCGTGTCATAAGAAACTTGTGGAACATCTCCTTGAAATATCTCCTAATCATTAACCCCTAACTCTGCCTAACTACAACCGATTGTCATCCATCTTCATGGCCCTAACCCCAAACCGCTGCCTCTGCCCCGAGGTTGAGGAAGAGTTCGACAAGGAGCTGTCGCAGGGCAGCATGCGCGGTGGCCCAGGTCTTGTATAGTATCGAGCGACGGACAGTTTGGTTCGGCCTCTTAAGTTGGTGGGCCGGCAGTTCCACAGGTGTGTTTAATAGAGGTTAGGGGTTCCCATTATCCACTGACTTGGGGACTAATTAAACACCGCCCCTTTGTGGGAATATGTGTTTGAAGGAAGAATAGACAGATGAGAGCTTGGAACACATTCTGGCCCTTTTTGAGGGAGAGAAACCACCTTGTGGGAGTGGGAAGGTGGTTCGGGTGAGTTTGTGGCTCCGACTATCTCTTCAGAGGATGGAGCTAGAGGCACTAACACCCTCCACCAGGAGTTACAAGCAATCTTTGGCCGGGGCACACACACACACACATATATATATACACAAATGAATATGTTGTAATGTTGTGCTCCATGTGTGCTTCTGTTCACAGGTTCTGATAAGGTCGCGTGCTTAAAGACCCCGTTGGCTTGGGCACTTCGTCTTGCCACGTCTTGCTGCCAGCTCGACGCGTCGCAAGGGGTTCCTTGCTGCACTTCTTCAGCGGTGAGTCACCACGGAAGTCGCGCTCGCGGTCGCCGATCTAACAGACTTGGTGTCGGGACTCGATCAACTTGGGCCGGGTATGTCTTACCATTTGCTTATAGACGTGTCTATCGATGCAAGCATGTCTTGGAGGACCTAGCTTTGTCCTTTGCATAGGACTGTTTGCACTTATAGACATAGAAGTGTCTATATAGATGATATGTCTAAACAGAATGATAATCTAGTTTGCTCAAAGATTATCATTTTTCCCTATACAAAAAATATGCTTGGGTGATGTTGGGTGGGTTTCCGGAGGGCAAATCCACGACAGATGGGACTGACCCCCCGGTCACCACTCATGGCCTGATCAGAAAGCATGGCAGTTCCATGGGTCGTGCATGGATGTTTTTTGCCACACTCATCGAGGATTTGTTTCTGCCCGGATTGGACCCGATGACAAGCGTGTGGACCATGCGTGTGTGCTTTTCTCGGACCCTGCCTAGCCATGCGAGCCTAGCTTTGCCACGCAACAACTCGTGTCCAATGAGTAGGAGGCCTGCCCAGTCAGTGGATAAACTATGATAAACTCTTAGCCGTAGTTTCCATCTATTTGGGGGACTTTTTGGGGCCACGAATCCTCCGTTTTGGAGGAAAAAGGTGTTCCATCAATAAGTCCAACAGGTGGAAGAAAAAGCTTACCCTCCCTGGTCTTCCAAGGGTCCAGGCCATCCACTTGCATGATTGGCAGGGAGACTTATCAAGACTGAGCCATAACACAAAAAGACTTGGGTGACTTTCTCCCCAAAAGACGACACAAAGCAAAAACGTCAGTGGTTGCGGAGTGTCCAAGCGCCCCCCCGGCGCTGAAGGGAGGGGCCAGCGTGGATGGAACGCGTAACGAACGGGCACCCAACGTTGGCTTGATGTGGGCTCCCAAGTTCGGGAACACATCGTGGGGTAGCATCGGCGCCCTCTGAAACCCATTGAATTGAATTGTATTGATATGGCGCCCATTTTGCTGCGAATAGCTGATATGAGAGAGGAATTGGTGCTAATGAGTGGAGATATGTTGTGATTATACTTTCTCATTTAAAGCTGTCAGTTTGGAGAAGCTTCATCCAGTGCCCAAACATTACACAACTCCCACTACAGTGGATTGTTACCACCCAGCACTTTAGGATCGACTGATGGCCTGGGAGAAAAATAAAGCACAGCTTCAAAGTAAATTTAAAGAGAAACAACCCCTAGGGCTCCAAGTGCCTCCTCAGAAGTTATTGGACCCTCTAAACCAACCCCAGTCCCACCTTCTCACAGGGTACTTGGATCCCTAGGTAATTGAATGGCATGCTCACAAAAAGCAGACGAAAGACAGACAACATCTTGGCTGAGTGGGAACCCTCCCAGCCCCCAGTTTCACCTTCAACCCTCCATAGCGGTCGAACCCTCCATAGCAGGGGTTTGTACGTTGACAACGTCCGGATCCATAGGGATATGAAGAAAATAATTCTTACAATACTTTTGCTTATCCCAGACACGACTAATGGGACTGCCATAGGACTGCCGCCCCAGAAGGACCCCCCCGAAACCACCACCCCTGGCCGTTTTGAAGGCAGTCCCAAACAGGTCGTGCTTGGGTATGATGTTCATTTTCCGTTTGGTGCCTAGCACTTCCTGTCTGGGTGCCCTGTCTGGAGACCTGCAAGTAGGGCAGGGTATGATCCTGGACACCCAGACAGGATGATCCTGGTATGTTCATTTTCCCTAGTGAATCCGGTTCCAGGAGCAGCAACTCTAGGAACTGGATTCCCAGAACCTCCGGACTTGGGAATTGGAATGGATTGCCTAACCTATATGCTGGCCGTCACTCTCGCTAGTCCGATGGCAGCGTCCATGGGTCGAAAGTCGTGTTTGGAAAACCACGGAGATCTATCTACCTTGCTCGCGGCCGGGCGTCGAACGAGAGTTGCGGCCGGGCTCCGGCCGAAGAACGGCTGGCGATGGTGATGTCGCCCAGGGGAGTACTAGTATAGATATGTATATATATATATATGTATATTTACATACATATAGAGAGAGATTAGTATAGATTATAGATATAATTAGATTATATACCTGCACATGTTAATCTGTATTTGTGTGGGTTGGAGTGCAGAGAAAGAAGAGATCATAGCAAACTTATAATAACATGAAATAAGTAATTGGGTGTCCCATACCCAACTTAGAACATCCAAGTAAGTGGCCCTTTATCTACCGAGTCTGCAAGAACTGATGGATCTCAGGATTCATTTCTGCGGTTTCGATCATTCAGACTCTGTCTCGCCTACTTACCAACAGTCGGTAAAGAAATACAACTACTTTTCAGAAAGGCCTGCAACTGAACCATTATCCACTGGGCGGTCATGGGATACACCCAAAACCTCATGTCTTCTTCACACGACCGCGGTCGCCACCGGTCGCCGGAACCGGGAAAACCGGTCACCGGGCGGAGCGACCGGGCGGAGCGAGCGGTGTTGTTGGTTTTCTGTAGCGTAGGCACACACACACTCATGTAAATGATCATATCGATGTATGTCAATGACTATAAAAAAAAAGATTTAAAAAGTGACCACCAGATGCGGTGTTTGAGTTCTTGATGGCATTCTTCTACACTACGAAAGTGCAAGCCCAACACTTAGCCCCTTGGCTGTTTCGACCGGGCGGACCGGCGTTTCGAGAGCGACTGACGAGTCGCATGGGGTTCTCCAGCGGCGCGTCGGCGGAGGAGTCACTCCGGTCCAAATCCATCGCGCACTTGGCAAGAGCAACCAAGAGAGGTTGAGAGACCTTATAGGACCCCATAGTGGTAGGTATGGGATGGGCGCCCTAAGGCTGTTCAACCTCTCTTGTAAGTCTAGGATCTGATGGCGTGAGAGTTCGGCCAAAGGTTTTGGGTGAGGGTAGTAGGCCATCGCTCTTAGGAGGCTGGAGGAGGCTTAGGTTGCTATGACCCAGAGTTGCGCTTCCAAGGCGTCCCTTGTACACTTTACAGTCGATTTCTCCGTATACGAAAGAAGGGGCGAAGTGACTGGTCAGCATCAAGTAGAATCACCTAAAGTCAAAGGACACTGCATAGTGGGACTCCCTGGTGATGAGGCAATCAAAGCTTTGGACAGTGGGATGCTTGCATTCAATAAAGTTCTTTCGATTTTGCCAAGTGAGCAGTGGGAAGAGCCACTTAGATGCCTTTGTGCATTGCTTGACACAGATGCCACAGAAGAAAACATGCTGCAAATCTGGTTGCGCATTCTGAACGTTGATGTGAACTGAAGCTATGCGAAGTTAACATGCAGAAGTCCTACACCTAAGGTGGGAAAACCATGGAAAACCGATGAACGATGGACCTATAAAGAGCATTTGCCTCATGCATTGATTGCTGTTCTTCCATGTTTTGATGTGATCACTGTCATGTGTCAGAGGTGCCCCTATGTGCCCCTCTCGCTTTAAGAAGTGCTAGCAATGTTTCTGGTGTCCAGATGTGTTCAATATGAATTCCGGCTGGGTCAACTTCGCAAGACCCAAAGGAGATGGTCATGTGCTAGCACAATGAAAGTTGCAAGGGTTTCCTGTATTGATTTGCTATAGCAGCTACTCAGAGGCCACGCATTCGCAAATGGCTAAATTGCCGTGGTCGTTTTTCGCGTTTGCCATGTCATCCTCCTCGGAAAGTTTTGAAACTGGCCTGTCAGGACCTGCATGAACTCTGAGTTGCCCAAGACCGAAGAAAGGAGCCTGATATAGCTTGATACGTTATTTAGCATAGTATTTATATGTATTTATACCATTTGCATCCATTTACTCTGCTTTGAACATGTCCTAAAGATTTCTGGGACCATTTGGGAACCCCAAAAACACACGGGGCAGCGTCATCCTCAACGCTGGACCCCTCGTTTCGCCATGGGCAGCTTTCGCCATGTGGAGCCGACGAGCCTATCGCGTCTCGGACAGAAGCTGTGGAGCTGGGTGGGGCGTGCCCAACATATGACGACGTTCGTAGCGAACCTTGTTCCTATAGCGAACCGGAATGCCAGGAGCGCCCCGTTCGTAGCAACTGGCTCTGGGTGTCTTGCTTAGGTGATTTTTGCTTATTGCTTCCAGGGAAGAATTCACATGGAACCTGATAAAATGGACCTGACCAGACTGGAAGACGATATTCCCAATACCAACCCGACGTGGGTTTGAGGTTCCATGAACTTCTCATGGGCCAACGTGGATGGCATGGTCCTGATTTCGGATGACTATTGTCCGAAGACCAAGCAGGCAGTGTTCACTCCACTTCCATGACAATCTTGCAGGGAGTGTGGAAAATGGGCCCCTGGCCCCTGGAAGACTAATCACCTGGTGGCTTTCCAATTCCATGTTAGTGAGAGTGGGAGTGTAGCATTCCGTTCATGGCAGGTGGCAAACGAGTCCAGTCATCGCGGCAACCAAACCGTGCATGAAAGAAGCGGAGGGGACCCGATCGGGGCGGGGCTGGACACTTCATGCAGAGGGGGGTTTGACTTATCAAGAGGCCAAGCAGTTGGGTTCAATTTGCATTTGGAGGGCTTTGTATGGCGTGAGGGTGGTCCTGAGCGAGGTGAAGAAGTCTGTCGTTGGATACACCAAGTCCACAGTGGGAAGGGAGCTGCTACCTGCACACATGAGGTGAAGAAGACGTGCAAAATCATGCAACATCCTAAGGGTAGTTCCAACCCTTCCTCCTGACTCCTGACCCACACAGTTGCCGGGGACTGGCGGTTCTTCAAATCCTCGGGTGTTTGTGATGTTTTTATTTCTTTGGGGTAATGGACCAAAGGACACCCCAACAGAGGTTAAGTGACCTTATAGGACCCTACTGGGGTGCCTATAGGATAGCCTATAAGGTTCTTCAACCTCTGCTGGCCACCCAACACCAGCTAATATGGAAGCTCCCGAAACCGTCCACACTTCCTGATCTCCGTCCGTTTGCGAGCCATCATTCAGCCTGTCAGGCTATGTCATCCGACCCACCGGAAGGTTCGCGACCTGGGCCAGGGGCTCTCCTTAGTAAGATGCACACCCACAATATGGAGATGTGGATTCAATTGCCTCTCTCCATTGACATATGGATCTATGCCGCTGGGCCTCCTGATATACACCCGGTGTTCGAGACCCAGATGGAACCGGGCGAACGGCAGCCTGACCAGACTGGAAGATGATTTTTCCTCATACCAGTCCAGTAGTTTTCAGGTTCCATGTGGGCCTCCAGAGTGCAAGAATTACACAAAGTTACACCCAATGCCCGCCTTGTCAGTCACATGTTCCAAGGACTGCCTTGGGCGAGACTCAGCGCCTTCCGGTGCTGTGGCAACGAGACTCTGCGCAGTAGCGACTCGGTTTTTGATGGAGGGCGGATGGATGATAAGCAACCGGAAGACCTCCAACGGGAAGCTCTGAGAAGAGTCCCAGAAGGGCTCTTTGATTTGATTGGGCCACTTTTGGAGAT